CCCCCCCCCCCCCCCCCCCCCCCCAATCCCTCTTTTCTTTATTATTTTACTGACAACAACAACATGATGAATTAATATGATCTTTTAATGCCAATGTCGAAAATGGGTGGGAATATGATGATGTCAATTATTTCAGTTCGTAATTTATGAAATTTCCGTAAATGCAATTTGCAGTGCTGAGAGTGCAAGTGAAGGTTCAAGTGAAGGAAGTGATGAAACTTCTCAAAATGTAAGAATCTCACAAACTCGTCACTGGGTATCGTAGTTTTATCAGACTAATGTCGTATGAAGGTCATATGCTTGCATCTAGCCACCTTGAAAGTTGAGGCGAAGTTTCAGAATATGCCGTTGATCTTGATGCATTAGTTGCATCTGCTTTATATGACTTTTTTTCTTGAATTTCGTTGAGCAGAATAAAATTTGTTTGGCATCATAACCTAAGAAAAGAACATCTCTATACCATGTACGTGTAGCATCCTATTCCTTTATAACTTCTAATCAAAGATGACCGTGGTTTTTGCTTTACCATATTTTAAAGCATTTAAACTTATCGAAGTATAATTAACCAGCATGTAAAAAGAGCGTGCTCATAGATTTTCAATTGTAAATTCTGTACTCTTTTTGATAACAATACTATATGGTTAACAGAAAGGGAATTTTTAAGCTTACCGTTGAAGTTTCCTTGTTAAGCTTCCTAAAATCAAGATGTATGGTTGAGGAAAATTGCTTCAAATGATGATGTCTATTTTTTTTTTCATCGTATGACGAAGTTGTTTTAGTACCTATCCAAGTGAGCACAATTTTCATAGAGTAGATTTTTTAAAAAGTGATTATCTGGGAGAATATGGTTAAAATGTTGGAAAAGTTTTACCTATCAAAAAAAGTTGGAATCGTTTTGAATTTATAGGCAAAGTTATTTTACTAAGAGAATGTGTGGTTGAAAATGAGTTAAGGAAAAAATAAGTTTAAAGAATGAGGCTCAAACACGGGCTTCATTTCTTCTAATATTTGTTCTGTTCTGCTTTAAAGGAGTCGCACGTGAAGTCAGGAGGCCAGCAGGATTCAGGTGCAGTTTAAAGAATGTTTACTTCCAATGCAACCATTATCTTGCCTATTTGTTTCGCTTAAAAACCTTGATATGATATCTTTGCTACAGGTGAAACATCTCAGAATGGTAGTGGTACACATAGTTCTCATAATGGAGGGCCAAATACGCCTCATTCAATGATGAATCAACCAATGCCTGTCATGTCAGTGTCTGGCGGCGCTGTTAGTATTCCTGGTCCCACCACTAACCTTAATATTGGTATGGACTGCTGGGCTGCAGCTCAACCATCTGCTATTCCTGCAATGCATGGTAAGGTGCCTTCTGCTCCAGTGGCTGGAGGAATGGTCACTTCTGGATCACGGGACAATGTCCAATCACATCTTTGGATACAGGTTTTCTTCTCTTCCTTTACATGATATTTTTTTATTCTCCTTTGACTTGGGCTTGGGGGTTTCATGATTTTGTCTTGCTTAACAGAGTAAAAGGTTTGGCTCTCGTGATTTTAAGTTTCTAGTGGGTTATTTGTCTATACACGTGTTAATTACTCATCAATTCACTCAAGAAAAAGGTTGTTCACAATTAATTATTATGATGACCTTGCGATGACCTCACAACTAGACTTCTTTTAAATTTAAAATCAAACAGTTCTTATTTTCCTAGAAAATGCACTTCTAAAAAAAA